GGGGCGAACTCGAAGGGGCGAACTCGATAGGGGGCGAAAGCGGCGGATACCATATCTTCACATCTTTAAGGCGCAAAGTCCAGCTAAACAGTTCAAGGAATTGTTCAGTCTGTGTCCGAATCACTTTTGACGAAATGGAATCGTCGTTTCCGAGGTATAACCATGCTTGTTTTTAATTTCGGCGTTGGATCGCTCGAGCAAAGTGTTAAGCTGGGTCGGCTTGTAATTTTCGATTTCCTTGATAATTCCCCTCTCTAAACACCACTTTTTCCAAACCGACAACCAAAAAGCAGTGCTTTTGACAGTGTTTTCGTTGTTTGAGCTGTTATTCAGCTGCAGGGCGAAAGAAAACCTACTTAAAACGCCGGCCGAGAGAAAAGAGGATTCATAAGTTTTTTGCTTACAAATTTTGTCCTGCCGGATAAACGAGAGATGTTTATGAAAAATGGAAACGAAGGTAACGATGTACTTGGCGACTCACGAAAGCGTTACCGTTGCCCGTGGGCAGAGATAGGAAATACGGATCGCTCAAAGAACCAATTAGATGGCAGGATTCGTTACCGTGCCCTCTAAGAAAAAAATAAATAGAGAATAATACACGGGAACGTGTAGATATGGAATTTCTCTTCGAGTGTTTAACTCGATAGGTCACGAGTGAGCGCAGCGAACGAGTGAGATGTCGAGTTGAACACGAGAAGAGACACTCTTAAGATGGAAAAATGCGTTAAATCATGATTACAAAAACAACAGCGGTCGTAATTTTCGATTTACAAAATCCTCATTTATTGACTTCGTCCTTACCGACAGAAGGAGTCTTTCAGGTAAACGGCCAAAATCGGCTGGTGGCACTGCACAGATTTGAAATCTTCCGGTTGTCGATTTTCATTCTCAGACGAGAGAAGTGCTAACACCAAAGCCACTGATGCATCCGACTTTCCCAAAATGTTCTAAGAAACTGATGAAATAACAGTCTTTTTCGGCTGGTGAGAGTAATGAGGAGGCAGCAAGCAAACGCGAAAGATCTTTTGATAGAAGAGTTAATTTGTGAATCTCATTTGCGAAGTTGCAAGTGAACAGAACGATCGGATGCATCACAAAACTCACGAAAGTTGTCCTGTTCATTAAGATGATTCTCTGAAAGATTATCGTTACGATTTTAATTTTGTTCAGACGTTTTTGAGCTAATATGTCTCCTGCAGAAAAATTTTTCGGTAACTCAGTGAGGAGTCTGAATAGAGAAGAAATATTTGGGAATAACTTCCTTACATAGATAAGATATCACAGGCATAGAATTTGTTAGACAGCTTTAAGTCTCTTGATCTCGAAACTTCACATCTGTCATAACACGTTGCACTTTCTAAAGCCCAAAAATGGGCAAACAGCTATTTTTATTTCATCTCTTGACCGAAACTCAATGCTTATCTACTAGTGCCAATTTTTTCTCGTTATTATGAATTTAGTGCAGTTTTGATGTGATTTCAAAGGGGAACGATTAAGCAATGGTTGTTCACTCTTAAAGTGGAAATTTATGAAGTAATATTTTCACCCGATTAGCAACGGTGAGAGTTCCAATCAAGGTTTAAAATTGACCAAAATAATTTTGGTTTCTAATTGGACAAGCTAAAAGAAAGCATATATCCAGCTACAAACATTTTTGACGACGTAAAGCTTCCTTTAGCATTTGTAAAGTTCAAATAACGACTGACTGCTGGAATATTTGTCCAAGAATAGTTTAAGCGGAGAACTATGTTCCAAAATAAGCATCGATTTGAAGAGGTGATATGACAAGAAAACGATTTTAGCAATAACATAATGACCATCGGGTACGAAATTAATTGGGTCATTACAAATTAAATTACCTGAGCTTATGCTTGACAATGCCAAAATCAAGAGAGCCAGTAACAAACCGTTTACATACGTCATGAGACTTTTAAGCACTTAGCCCTCATGAATAATTCTGATTTCCTCCTCACGTAAATCCACACTGTTTCGAACCAAGAAAACCCTAGGAACTAAAGTTTTTTAGAAAGCGAAAAGCTAATTCGCAATTTCCGGTGTCGTCACAACTTTCTGTTATCTCGTAATTTGATGAAATTTTCGAAGATCTGTAGTTCGCCGACTCGATCTTCTACAGCCAAGTGGGTCATACCGTCTCGCGGGTGGCAAAAACATTGAAAGGTGGCAAAAACAATCTATAATTTTGATTTAGGAAAAAAGTTTATTAGCGCATTTCAGTGCATTTCGGTGCATTAAGGAAAAGAGTCAAAAAAATTCTCACGTCTAAGTATTCAGACTCAAAACCTTTATATTTTTAGTGAAGGGCGCCTCTGTCGCGCCACTCATTTTACCGCCTTCATAGTTATTCGCAGCAGAAGCTTACGTTCCACAAGAACTGAATTTCTTCCCAAAAAAAGGGGGTAAGTTTCTGGAGAAACTGTGTCGCTAAGTCGGCGGGGAATTTAACAAGATAATTTGGTTTTATCAACTGACTTTATAATGGAAACTGGCCGGCGTAAAGAGATTCAAAGCTGACGTATCGAACTTCAGCCCTTCGTCTGAGCGAAACTGGTGGCCCATTTACATCATCAACTCTGTTTCTAAAACCAAATTATCTCGGTTCCCGAGAAAACTGAGAAAAAAATTGAGTCCACGTCGACAATCGCTTTCGACGGTAGATTTCTTGCCAGAACAATTTCAAAAATTAGGAAAAACTAATTGATGAAAGAAAAGAAAGCACGGAAGATATTTATTGAGAAAAAGGTGGATGTCTCTGATACTCTGATTTTGTGAATGCTTTGCAGCCAACATATATCTTCAATAGATTGATCCCTACACATTACACATTGAAATTGTAATGTTACTTTTACCTCCAAAGCTAAGCAGCTTGAAAGCTCCACTGCCTCTTGATAAAATTTTCTTCGTAAACGTTGATCCCTCCAATGTCATAATTCCACCATCTAGCAAAACGTCCACAGCCATACACCTTGCTGTTTTGTTTCCATGATTTCCCTCCCACTGTTGAACAGTTACATTCCTGAGAGTAAAATATAACCTGTTGGGACCCAATTTCTTTCTGGTGGGCCTTGAGCGGTTCTTCTAATTGATATCACGCATCCATACGTGACGGCTTTGCATTTACTAAATGTTACATTGGTAGGATCGACTTTCAGAAATCCATGTTTGCTATTCGCAAAAATCGATCTGCCGGCGTCAGCTTCATTGTTATGGAAGTTAGAGTTCACGATTCTTAAAGATGCATTAATACTAGTCGCTAAAGACAAGCAAGAACCTGACTTTTTGGAATCTACAGATTGGTTGTAAAAAATCGAGTCTTGAATAACTATATTTGCCCTCTCTGACTGAACTGTGATGCATTGTATTTTTGGGTTATTATGGCATGTCAAGGAGATTAACTTTGCTTGTGTTTCGCTAGCACGTGAGAAATATAATCGTCGATTTTGCTTTCTGCGACCTTTCACATTGTGATGTACGTCGATATCTACGAATGTTTCGCTTGTAATCGCATTTGAAACGTCAACATGTACGAAGGGGCCTTCATTGTAAGAACGTTTAACTCTACAGCAAAAAATGTGAATGTATACTAGAGAAAAACGTTTTTTTGCCACGGACCTGATCATTATGACGTCTCTTCCAGTATCGTGCCGGTGTAGACCATTTCTTTCAAACGCAGCATCTTTTATGTTAAGTGTAACATTCTGACTTTTTCCTTTAGTATTATTGAGTAAAAGGACGCTGATGCATCGTGAATTATTTCGAAACGTTGAATTGCCTTCTAAGTCAAGCTGAAAAGATGTAATGTTCTGTATTTGATGGCTAAGGCTCTTGAAGCATTGTGAAAAGAACAGTTGTGGATTGTGATGCGCTGGCAGTCATTACAATTTAATGGAGTTTGTTGAATTGAAAATCGATTCCTGACAGCATCAAAGCAAATGAAATCCATCAGCACATAAAACGTGAAGGGTGGGGTAGAATCCCTTAACCGTCAAGCTCTTGTTCACGTAAATACATGCATGATCCATCAAAATATTGCAACCGTTTCTGCAACCATACTCGCGTTTCTTGGTCCCACGTCCGTCCAGATAGATGTTCCCGCCATGGCCCACGCGATGAACCGCTTGAGCAATGGACTGGCCAGGGAGACTTTGGCTGCCACGAGTTTTAGTGTCTTTTCCATGAAGAGAAACATACACATTCACAATGTTTGAACCTGAAATGTTTACAAATCAGATCTTTATAAAGTATTATTATTAAAGCTGCATGAGGACGTCCAGAGTATAATGATTAATGAATGCCTTTTCATTTAAGGTTTTCAAGTTTCCCAACCGTACTGTCATTTAATTGGTGCATGCTAAACTTTCCCGCTCTTCTGCCCATAAACGATCTGTTTTTGTTGTTGTTGTTGTTGTTTTAATATTTTTCGTCAAGTAATAACTTAAAAGTTCTTCTCTGTAGGACTAAATGATGAATAATACATCTGGGAAGGAAGAACAATTCGCCCGTCCAAACTGAAATAATGAAGTTAAGTTTACAGTTCATTGGATGAATAGACGGACGAACTGACCAAATGCTAGGTACCCACTTCTTGGTAGAGCCATTTCTCCTTTGAGATTATCAAAACGATTCAACCGATGCCATCTTTCGTGTCTATCACTGACAGGTCATTGAACACCTTGCACTCGAAATAATATGTGCAGGCGTCTTATTAGTGTGAGCTAACTTTATAAACTCGCGATCGTTTATCCGGCCGGTCATGTTTGATTTGGAGTTATAGTGGAGGGTGGGGGTAGGGGGCGGGGGAAGGGCGATAATCTTCACTTCTCCACCCTACCCCTCTCCTTTTTTTCTGGGGGGGGGGGGTCTCTCTCCCAACTTGCTGTTTTTCCCTCTTCGACCAGATAAAAACGCTACAAATCCCAAGAGGATCTGTAAAACAATAGATAAATAGGCACCCTGTGGAAGTGTCACTTCCTGAATCCAATTTATTTATCTATTATTTTAAAATGATTTTTTTAAAGTTAGAAAAGAAAAAAGTCCCAAAGACAGAACACTTGATTTCCTTACCTAGAACCTTTCCAATATTTAACTGTTCATTCCAAAGGCAGATCACTCTTGGCAGATCACTCTGCGTTGCAACACTAGGAGTAACAACACTGTAAACGAAGGCAGACGTTGTTACATGGACTGAAAGTAAAATAAATAAGTATGGCTTCTTATGCAGTGACATAATGACAGGAATATTACAGTGTACGCACCACGCTCGGCTGCATTATTTGAAAGAACTTTACAAAGCACTAACAATTCTGAACCAACTTTTCCTATAATGTCTTATATTGCAGTGTGATCATTGTGGATGGCTTTTGGGGATTTTTTTGCAGCTATTAATACGAGAAAAGTGAAGGAGAAAGATCACGATCGCCATCTTTTGCATAATTTTTCCATTTTGCTAATTAATTCGTGTTCAACATTGGAAAATAAATATACAAAATAAGAAGTGTGAATTGAGAAAAGAAAAAGAAAAGATCTGGTTTATAAAATAGACGCTAACAATAACGAGTATATTGTTAATAATGAATATGATAATGGTGATTTTATGATAAATTAAACTCTTTGTGTCGGATATAGAGCGAGTAGAAATAAGATAGGCAACATAGTAACCGTAAGGGTAGTATATCATATAACCAAGAAATCGGAAGGAGAGCCTTGAGGAAAGGGTAAGTGGTTATAGAGTCAGTCAACCTGTGTTACCAATATCAGTTTAACCAAAACACTTAATCTTTCAAACAGTGTACATCAAAGAAAGTGTTTCATATGTCTTGGAACATATTGATCTATTAGAGAACAGATGACGTCACCATTAATGACATTTTGCTTTTTTATGAAGTAAAACATGAGAATAAAGGTAAAGACAGACCGACGCGGACTTCTCATGTGGCTTCCTTGGTCGCGTCGCATTATCGCCTTCAAATTTTAGTTTTGCTCTCACAAGTATGTCTTTTTAAGGGTTTTTCACTTTTTGCCAGAGATGATCTGAGGTTTTGCAGAAATTATTTTCAGCAAGGGCTGATTGGGTATCAGACCCCAATGTTCCATCAATATTTGTTTTAGAATTTTAACTGCCGGGTGGTACGTTGTGACAAAAGACAATGAACGTTCGTGATCTTTTGGCTTTCGTGTATGTGTAAGAGCCGATTGTTTAGAGGCAAAGTTGACCCCTGACAGAGACCTTTCTATGATGTTTTCTGGGTACCCTCTTGCTTTGAGGCGTTATTGGAATTTCAAAAGGCCCTTAACGCCTGATGGGTGGCACGAAGTGAAGTGCGTAAATAGGCGTTTCAGTGATCTGAAGTCACTCTCATTGGTATAAAGGATAAAATTTTTGGTACTAGAAATTTGCTCTCACTCTCTTCAGGTTTTTTGGGGTCTTTGGCAGAAGAGGCAGTTTTGATCCCCTCACTGTTGCAGCTTACTTGCGTGAATCAAACAGTTCAGCTTATTTTTTCCTTTGCCGCCATCACTTCACTAAATACCTCTCTCACAAATAATATTTCACTCTCTTACCTTGAATTTCGAGACATTTCTCTCATCTTCACCCCAGGGCACTTATACTGACGAGAACGACTTTTCACATATCCTCGTCCTCGGGCTGTAATCTCGGCACCAGATCACTGAACCGCGAGAACTCCGAAGTGGCCTATTGGAAGGTCTCGGACAGCTTGCAACAGATGAAGGAGGGATGTTTTCGTCATCATTCCCTTCATTTAAGACGTTCATTTTATGGCCGTAGTTTTCGTCATTGCGACGATAGTCTGGCGTCTTTGGTGGTGAGATATCGTTTTTGTCTTTACCACCAAGACTTACCCGTAGTAAGAACGCACCAACTCTTTAGATGAACACCTCGACTAAACTCGATTTGGTTAAAGGGGTAAGTTTCTAAAAAATATTGTGGTGCTGCGTCGGTGGGCGGCATAAGAATGTACATTTGTAGTTATCAATTTGGCAGGTAATGTAAATCGGCCACCAAAGCTGATGTTTCGAGCATTAGCCCTTCATCGTGATCAGAGCGAATGATTTAAAGAGGCTCTATGGGGTATTTTTTCAATATTGGCGCGCGCGCCAGCGCAATGTTTTTCGAAAAAAATTTTTGTTTTTGCTTTTCAAGGTCACTAAAAGCTATCAAAAGAGGATCAGCAAGGTTCGGACTATCGTTTACTGTAGTTAATATTATCAAAATGATTTTCGTGACTAAGCCAGGGCTCCACGAATGGAGGCGCCCGCCAGTAATAATTTGGCTCTGCCTTTGATTTATTTCAATTTTCTTCCGCGAAATCTCTCAAAATTTTCACAATTTGAGAAATTTTTTCCCGCCGATCATTTAAAGGCTGAAAAAATAGGGGGTTACGAAAGTAGTTTCCTCGCTATTTGCAATTTTGAGTTTTCTTCCTCTATCTCAAATTTGGTCCCATGAATTTTTCTTATCAGCAGGTACTAGGAAGGGCAAAAATATGTTTAACGGTCCAGCAAATCTTAGGAAATTAAATTGAAGGAAACGCAATAAATCCTACTCGAAGGAGCACTATTTTCTCAGCACGTATTTCTTTTCAAGCAGCTGTTTGCTTTAGATATGTAGAATACCTGCCTTCGCAAGAACTCACTATTCTTTAGATGCACACCTCGACTAAAATCGATTTTAATGATTAAAGAGATAAGTTTCTTTAAAAAATTGTGGTGCTGCGTTGGTGGGTGGTATAAGAATGCACATTTGGTATTATCAACTGGGAAGGTAATGTAAATAGACCAAAATAAAGCTGACGTTTCGAGCGTTAGCCCTTCATCGTGATCAGAGCAAATAATTTAAGCTCGATTTAAGCTTATTTAGAAATTTCTGGTGATAATTATATTTCAAATTATAAAATGCCACGCAGTTTTAACGCAAGAAGTTTTGAAAATGCAACACGAAAGACTTGCAGCTGTATAAATGAATTACCATATTACGATATTCACACAGCCATGCCAAGGTCTTAGTTGTAAACAAATTCAGAAGGCATAAGAATCTCGACAGTTAGCGGCTGAGGAAGAATAATATTTCGTATCATTTTGTTTGTATGACTGTAAAACGTACCTTTTGAGGCCTATGAAAGTTATGAATTCTGGTAAAAATTCAACTTAAATTGAAAACGGGTCATCGCTGGAATTAAGCTATCGCTTCTTGAGGTAATCTCTTATTAGATTACATATCTCGTAACATATTCATCACACATGAAATGAACTGGACTGTAAGTTAAAATATACGCGTGTTCAATAGCTGACATGTATCGGCTTCAGGAGACCAACATTGTGACCGTGTACTATTCAACTAACGCCATTGAACAGAACACCCCAAGGTGTGGCCATTTTAGTCGCTTTAGCGTGTTGGAAAAAAAGTTCTGCTAACAAAATTTGCATTTAGGGTTACCATTTTGGCCACCTGCACCCGCCGGCTTTAATATGTTTGTTTATTTGTGTTTGTGATCTACATTGAAACTGACAAAAAAAGATTCGCATAAATATATGTTATTTGCCGGCTGGGAGGTCCGTATGGTGAAAAACGGTGACCGAGGTCACAGTAGGCCGAAGGCAGCATTTTCAAGACTGAATTCACCGTTTTTTTACGATACAGACCGACCCTTAACCGGTAAGTAACACACACACACATATATATATATTTTTTTAACTTAACAAAATTCTCTCCGAAAGAACCCGATTGATTTAGGGCTGTAATTACGGCAAGATCTTCCATAAACTGAACAATTTTTGAGCGAGTAAATGGTAGTTAAAATAAAGGTGAGGCAAATTAAAGGGAGATGCTTCACCGAAACATTTTTATTTTCATAATGATAAAGGTGATTTAAAAGGAGTTTGACTAATGGTCGTGGGTCGTGGGTACAAGTCGTGGGTCGTGGGTGTGGGTACAAGTCGTGTCGGTAATAATTAACAATTAGTGGTTAATAGTTAATATCAAATAACAAGATCACTTATCACGAAAACTAAAATTGCCATTCACGTTTCACGCAATATGAAACAAAGGTAAAAGGTGTTAAATTGCCTGATAAAATTGGGGCCCAGAATGATGATCAGCTAGTCACATTCATGTTTCTACTCGCAGTCTTGTTTTGAGACGCTTACCGGATAATTTTCTTAAAGGAAGAGAAACAATAACGGTCCAGGTTACGTTTCGCGAGAAAAAAAAAAAGCAGTATTATCCCGATTTCCATGAAAAAAAGGCGATTTACCGTTCACGGCTATATAACCAAAATACGTTTCACGAGAAAAAAACTGTTCTCTCTATTACTATTACCGAAACGAATTGTACCCACACCCACACTCACGACCCACGACTTGGACCCAAGACTATTAGTCTAACTCTTTTTAGGGCGGCTCGTCAACCAATGTAATGACACTATTGCATATACAAATTCATTCATTAATATAAGGCGTTCATTATTTCCCTTCTTGATTCTCTGAGTACTGAACCTAGTGACTAATGAATGATTTCTGGTCACCAAAGGCTAAATTTGAAAAAAAAAAAAAAAAAAAAAAAAGGATAAAACTTAGTTTGGAGCTCTATAGAATATACTTCGAGTGGTATCGAACTGATTCACAGATTTTAACTAAGATCGATGGGGAAAAGTGAATCTCTATTTTCAGGGTATTGCTGTGATACTGAGTATGCGTCGCTATTTATAATCAGTTAATTTTTTTTTCTTTTTCGTTCGCGTTAAACTGTTTTGCGCTGTGTACCCAATGAACAATCTTAATATTAGAATTGAACATTCTTTTTCAATCTGCAGTTCTGAGTTGTATGGTGCAAGTTGATATATGCAATATGAACAGAATATTTCTTCAAACGATAACAGGTAAATCTATCTTTCATTAATGTATTAAAGAGAAATAAACGTATTGTGAATGTTTATATATATATATTTTTTATATATATGCGAGGCAGTATGCATTCGTTTAAGAAATATTTTATGATACATTTTTGTAGTGTTCTTCTTTTTCCATATATCTCGACAGATTTGCCGGTTCCTGAAATTTATTTAATTTTAAGGTTGTCAAATGTCAATTAGCTTAAAATTACCTGTAAATTGCTGTTACAGAATTTTTCTCATGAACAGATTTTCTCATTTGTTTTCTAAGTGTTTCTAGGAATGGATGTTGGCCTTGTTGGTAAGACACTTTTTATTCTTAATATCTAAATTATAAATTCCTTCTAGATTTTTAGCAAAAATTGAGCTTAATGGCATGGCAACCATAAAAATTAAAAGTTCTTTGTCTAATGAGGGCTTTTCTGTTTACCATTTATGACATTGTCCTGTGACTAGTAATTGTTTCACTACTTTTGTCTGTGTTCATAGAATCCTTGTTCTGTGATGGAAATTACACAAGTTCGAATGGTACAGTATCCTCACCATCATTCTCAAGTCGTTCAACTTATAAAAACTCGTTGGATTGCACATATGACATTGAAGTTGGAGGTGAATATGGCATAAAACTATTGTGGTCAGCATTTGATGTCAGGGGTGAAATGCCGAACTGTTTTGAAGATTCTGTGGAGATATTCCTTGGATGTGTGTCCAGACATTCAATTGGAAAATACTGCTCTGAAAATGGATACAAGCCATTTGATGTTTACTCATCTGAGAACTGCTTGCGCTTAGTTTTCAAGACAGATACCTCTGGTGGAGGCAAAGGATTTCAAGCGTCTTACTCATCATTCCTTTTAAATGGTAATGTTACTTAATTAATAAACAATTTATGCAAAACAATTTGCATTGAGGAGGACACAGTACTTGACAACCGAAACTGTGGTAATGGGTGAGTACTCAGTGATAATCATGGAAAACCTGGAAAGTCTTGTAATGAGACTAAATATCATTTTTCTGACTTGGTGATTTACGAAATTTTAGTGGGGTTCATGTAAAGTCATGGTTACTACTGAATGTTTTAATTAAAAAATTACCATCACAATTTTTTTTCCACTTTGGAACCATCTTCTGGGAGTAATAGCTCTTCGAAAAAAATTCAAAAGGGTAGTTTTAAATAACACTGACAGGATAAATAAGCAAAATAAACAAATTATTAAAAATAATTCCATTATAAAAACTAAATTATGCCATAACTGTGAATTGCCATCACATGTTTTACTTGATCTGAAGTTGAAGAATGAACATGACAACAGCAAAAATGGCTCTAGTTATGTATGCAACACTCATGTTATTATGGGCAAGGGATTGATCCTGTCGCTGTGAAGATGGTCTGAATTTCACTATTTGGCAGACAACAATAGTTACAGTTTTTTTAAATTAAAATTTATGCATCAAACAGTCTTGATTAATAATCATGTATCTCGTCTCTAATAATTGATGGCATTCTTTGCCTTAATGAATACCATACATGTATGTAATGCTCTATAATATGTATATCATATGGTTTTATTGATGTTCATGTATTTAAATATGTTAAGTACAAACTGCATTAACTGACATACCACTGTTTTATGAGATTCACAGGTCGTCAAAGTGGTGTAGGAGGTATGCAATCAAAGCTGTCAAAAAAATAATAAACAGTTCTGTTTGCATTTATTTCACTGTGTGCATGCTACACGAACTCTATTAATCACCTGGTTTTATTTATTTATCAATATATGCGTGATCTCTACATTATGATTTACTGGTACTTGTGAGTAATGCTCTTGATAACAAGACTTACGTATGAAAATTAAGGGTCTATTGTTTTATTTTTATTTTACCTAAGATAGCTCCATTTCATCCTAGTTTTATTGAGTGCCTTAAAGCAAACCACATATAGTTAGTAGGTCATCTGCTCAAAAAAAGTATATATATATATATATATAGATATGTATATATTTATCACTGTATACACCTACAAATACAGAGACAGGTTTTTCTTGGGTTGTTTTTTTGTTTGTTGTACCATAAGTTTAGTCTTTTTTTCCTAAAAGAGACGCTGGCTCAGAGGTGATTACCAATAACTATTTAGAGAGGGGCTGTGGAGCAGCTAAATGTCATGGCCTTTGCCTGTGATATAATTGTTATACTGCAATTACATGTATCAACAACAACTGCAAATTAATCATCTTAAAAATAGTCAAGTGCTGCGTTTTTAGCGTGAGCTAATACAAACAGTCCCAGTATAACATCACTAGAATGATAGTTATAGAGTTTGATTTGTAATATTTTTTGTCTCTTTTCTGAAAAAGGGGAATGTTCCTCAACAAAGACCCTCACTGCAACATCTGGTGTGATTAGCTCTCCAAATTGGCCCCAGGACTATCCCAACTACAGAGACTGTTACTGGAATATTGAGGTTGGAAACAAGAGGAGCATTAAAATAGCTTTCATGGACTTTCATTTGGAATATGATTTCTTATGTGACGATGACAAACTCAAAGTTAAAGGTGGGAGGAATTTCAGGGCTCTTTAATAACGATCCAATTAACAAACAGATTCAATGTTGATGTGAGTCTTTGCTACAGTAGTAGATCATAGAAGACATCAAAATGTGATAAGAACGAAAAAGTAGCAGGAGAAGTGCAGCAAAGTGTGTCATTGATTTTCTGAACACATTTTGATGTCTTTTGTGATCTTTTATTGTGCAGGCCCCCCGCAACATCGAATCTATTTGTTTTATAATTAAAAGACAAAACATTGCCAATGGTGACACTGTCTTTGTGTTTGTTCTCCAATAGTTCATGAGTAAGAACCAATCAAAATGTATGTTTAATTCAGCTTATTATATAATTTTAATTGTTATTTCAATGCAGTGCCACAGTCATGAAGTCATACAACTTGTATACTTGTATGCCTCTGATTCTTTTATTTGAACACATCAGAATGAGTCCTCAGCACTTAACATTTGTAACCTAACTCACTAGATATTGTTGTTTCCGCATGTTTTAAAAACCCAAACTACATATTTAAGAGAACATGTTTTCACAAGTGTATCTTATGTAATAACCTCCAATATGTTTCATGGAAAATAAGGAAAAAGATCAGAGGAAAACATATGGGTTAAAGTAAATTGTTGTAGCCATTAATTAACTGTCATGGAAGTCAGAATTAACTGAAATAGGGGCAGTAAAATTTTAATTTTTCTCAAATTGTATTATGATTTTTTCCTTTAAGACGGAGATGATCATGAATCGTATGACAAGTCTGACACCCTCAAAGAGTCGAACTGTGGTGAACAAGACCCATTTTACTTAATGTCATCAAAGGAGAGAATTTGGATCAGATTCAAGTCAGACAGGTTCACTAACCACCGTGGGTTTGTTGCAGGCTACGTCATGTATGATAAAAGTTAGTACTGCGCAAATAGTCCTTGAAGGCTCTAAAGTATTTCCTGAATTGTTTGCTCTTTTTTACAAATACATTCAACTTTACGACATTTTATTGATAGTACAGTTGAAAAGTAATGTCGGCCAGGAAGTAATCCTCTCATTCAGGCTTCTCAAGAGGCTGATCAGTTTTGGAAAAAAAGGAACAGCAATTTCCAAGCAGTAATTATGTTGTTGACCATCGCTGTGCACTCGAATATAAAGTTTCAATACTTGCTATAACAAACTAAGAGTAGTGCTAGTACATGGTTCGCACGGGCCTGGAATACTCCTTCAAAAATGCTAGGCCCTTGAAAACTCCTTGCAAAAGATTTTCTCCTTGAAAACTCCTTGAATTTGAAGAAGCAGTGCTTGAATTTTATAAAAAAGTCTTTGAATACCTAAGAATACAGCAAAATAAGTTCATTTTGGCATTAAAAAGGTTGAAGAGATTGCGTTAGCATCTAACATCAGTTGAGAAACTCATTTATCATCTCAAAAACGGCGAAGCTTTTTATAGAAGGACAAATCAGTGTTTCTTATTCAAATCATCTAAGTAACCGCGCATTCAGTGGGGTTTCTCATCTTTGTTGTGCCGCCCCCCCTCTAAGCAATTGAAACCATGAGGGAAATGTTGCTCAGAGTGTGAAATTTATTCGATTCTGGTCCTGTTTATTGTGTCTTAAATGAATTCAAAAGGTCAACTATTACAATCGGAATTTGGAACTTAATTCCAAGTACAAAGGCTGGTCGACTGCTTTTAAAGCTGACAGGAAAAAGGCCTTATGCAAATGTTGCGATCGAATGGTCGACATTTCAAACATGGGAGAGTCTGCGTTGAAATTTCACATGAAAAGTGAAGGGCACAAAAACAACAGTAGAATTGAAGGTGAACAGCCAATGACACTATCCTCATTCGGCTTTGTACCATGTGGAAATGGAATTTTAGCTGAAGCAGGAAAAGCAGAAGCATCGCAATCACAACAACAAGTTGTAATGACAATCCCTCTGCTGCCTCAAGACGATGCAACTCCAGGATCACAACCATCTATGAAAGGACATGTGACTAAGGATAATGTGCTTAAAGCCGTAACACTCTGGATACTGGAACTTATTACAAGTCACTATTCATTTAACTCGTCCAAGGACACTTCTCAACTCTTTTCAGCAATGTTCCCTGACAGTCAAATTGCTAGGAAATTTGCTTGTGGAGAGCAAAAAGCAGGGTATTGTTGTGTATTTGGTCTGGCTGAACACTTCAAAAAGCTGCTCCAAGACAGCTTCAGTAGACCTTTTGTTGTATTGTTTGATGAAAGACTGAACACAAAAATGCAGGAGAAGCAAATGGATGCCCATGTGAGGTTCTGGAATGATCAAACCAACTAAGTCACAACAAAATATTTCAACAGTGAATTTCTTGGTGAGTGTTGAGTCTTTAATTATGGACTAGGTAAAATATTGTTTCTTCTTTTACCTTGTGCGCTGATGTTTAGGTGCTTATGAAGGAGCTGATGACAAATTTTATCGTTTACTGTTAATGTAGGCCATGGTACTGCTGTGTGTGCTGTGCGTGTGTACTGCTGACAACTTAATGGATCATTTCACCAAAAGTGTGTTAGTGGTTTGCAAGCTAAGAACATCATACAGGTCAGCACGGATGGTCCAAGTGTTAACTGGAAGTTTTATGGAGAATTAAAGAAGAAAGTTAACACTGACTATGGTACCACTCTCGTAAACAATAGGTCTTGTGGTGTGCATATACTGCACAACAGTTTTAAAAGAGGCATGGATGGTACTGGATGGCAAGTGTCTTCGTTTCTTTCCAGTTTGTACTATCTCTTTAAGGATGCTCCTGCCAGAAGAGAAAACTTCATCTCCATATCTGGCAGCCCTTTGATGCCATTGAAATTTGTCTCCTATAGATGGCTTGAGAATGTAACAGTTTGCCAAAGAGCGCTGATGCTTTGGGACAATGTAGCTGATTATGTTAAAGCTACAGAAGATTGAAGGGTAAACTGGCCCCAAAACAAATCATATGAAGTTGTCAAGGAGACCCATGAGACCCATGCTTTGTAGCTAGGTACACTTCTTTAAGTGCATTGCAAATCAACTGCAGCTATTTCTTGCAAAGTATCAAACAAGAAAACCTACGCTACCATTTGTCAGTGATGATCTAGGTATGATCATTAGGTCTCTGATGAGGAGATTTATTAAAAGTGACATACTTCAAGATGCTAGTGATGAACAATTAGTGAAGATCAAAGTTGCTGACCAGAAGATTCATGTGAATAACAAGAGAATTGATGTTGAATTTGCTAGTGAAAAGTTGAAAGGCATTGGTAATTGCAAACCAAGTGAGAGGCAGGTTATAGAGTTTAGGATGGAAAGAAAAACTTTTTTCATTCAAGTCTTGGAGAAGATGTTGGAAAAGAGTCCAGCGTCCTATTCCCTTTTTCAGCATTTGTCATGTCTAAATCCAGTCAAAATTGCCTCAAACAAGGAAGCTTGTTCAGCAAAATTCAAGAAAGTCCTGAGATTGCTAGTTAATGCTAAAAGAGTTAAAGAGGAAGAATGTGACACTATCCTGCAACAGTTTGCTATTTTCTTGGACAGCATTCCAGTTTTTGGGTCAGAAAGATTTGCTAACTTCCAATCAGCGGAAGACAGATTGGATACTCTCTTCTTTGAATGTATGGCAAACGAGAGCTACAAGAGTCTTTTCAGTGTTGTAAAACTTATCCTAATTTTGTCACATGGTCAGGCAACAGTTGAGAGAGGTTTGAGTGTCAACAAAAAGGTAGAAGTTAAGAATATGAAGGAACATACTCTAGTGGCTCAAAGGATTGTTTGTGACCCTGTGAACAGTGTGGGAGGAGTATTGAAGACTGAACTGAGCAAGCCCTTGCTGCTGTTAGTCAAGATGTCAAGACAACGGTACGAGAAATACCTTGATCAAGAAAGGCAGAAGAAAAACTGAATCGGAACGGTAAAAAAGAAAGTGCGTGCTGGAAGAGATTGATGAAGTAAAAAAGAAAAAGAAGAGAATTAATGCTGAGATTAAGATTGTATGAAGCATGTAGTACCGGCGTGTTATTTTGGATGGAGTTAGAACTATTTTTCCCTTCCGGAAGATAAGC